TCAAGGCATCTCACAGTCAAGAAGTCAAGGATCCAAACTCATTCACCACCAAGGAACTGGTTTTACTATGATGCTTTAGGTGTGTGAGTGTCAGCCTCCCCCAGCACTCCATGGTATAAATCTCAGAATTCTGATGGATTCCTCTCCTCTGTTTTTATACTTAACCAGTCCAAAGCACTGGCTGTCTCCTTCAGCTAGGTCTTCAGACCTTCTCTGTCCTAGCTGAGAAACAAATTCCCTTGTTCAAAAAAAGAAATGTTTTGTTGTAAAACAACAACAACAAAATAACTGAGTATATGTTTTTTTGTTTTGATGTCTAACCTCTCTCCAAAACTCCATTCTCTTTTCTATGACACATCTGGCCTTCAAGTCCTAGAAACTATTCCAGACTTAACATGAAGTGCTTTTCCATGCTAGTAACCACTTATAGCACTGTCCTATAAAGCTTTCTCTGATGGAAGTTCACTTTGGAGGTGAAGATGTTGCTGACAGCTAAAGATCCCTCCCACACGTGTCTGAGGTCCCAGATCAGAGCTCATCAGCACCAAGGATTTGGGGTGAGGCATAAATACACAAGTCTTGTTTGTGCATAGGTTATTTCTGCATGCTTTCAAATGTTTAACCAGATAACAGGGCAAAAGGACCTACATTTCAGATGTTTTCAGGAACATTTGTAGTAGGGATTTAGCCAACAGCATCTATATATCTGGAAGGTAAATTCTTGGGAGAGAGGCTGATCTGGCCAAATGTCCCGAAAGTCCATCTTCTCCACATAAAAGTCAATGAACTTTTCACAGGCAGCTCTTTTTTTTCATCCTTATGTGCTAAGTGCTTGGCCAGGGGACTAGTGACCAAGGTTGCACTGAGTGGTTATTTACTGTATTTTGGAATGTAGGAAGGAATGATGCAAAGATGGTGCCATTATTGTCTGAAAGAACTAAACACAGCCATCTTCACAACCGTAAAGAAAGAGAACTTAGTATAAAGAGCCAGTGGGGTAGATGGGACATTTGATAGCCAGAATTGTAGACATCATCCTAGACTTTAGGTAGAAAGATGCTGCTACCTTCCATGTGGATATATTTATATATAATGTTGACTACACACACATAAATACACATACACATAGGCAGAATATCAGGTGAGTTCTTGTTGTTGCTGTTTTTATTCTTCTGTTTTTCAATGATCGTATTATCTTGAAAACATAGTGTGTCTGATTGGATTCCAGCTATCCCCTGTTCAGGGTTGAAAAGCAACTGAAATCCAGACAGTCAGCTGCTGGTAGGGGAATTGGGGCTTCTGTTCAGCATAATAAATGATTCCAAGATAAATATATTTCTTTTTTAAAAATCCTAGATGGTAGTATATCCTCTTTCCAATAAGAAAGCAGAGGAGTTGGCTCTATTTAGTTTGTGTGATTGCTTTGAAGAGTGGGGACAGGTTGACTCTGAAAAAACTATGGTCGTCTATTCATTAAAGTGTCAATAATACTCGGCCCAGGCATATCGACAGCGGATTAGCTTGGGCTGATTCAGTGTACAAGACGAATGCCTTTTTTAATCCAGCTTGTTTCCAGATCAATACACCCATCAGCATTCGAAAATTAGCCCAAGATGAGATTCCAATACTCAAGGTGGTGTGTCATGCTAAGAGGGCACCTAGCCAAGCCACATATGTAAACAGCTAGCTGTAAATTAGACATTTTCCATTTGTTTGGACATCAGTGGAGAGGAACATTGACTATATCACCTCACCTCCTCCCAACACTCCTTCTCTCAGGTACTGCTTAGCCTTCTCTCTTGCAGACTAAGCAAGTCCCTTGCACTATAATTCCAGCCATTTTCTTCAATAAGCACTTATTAAATATTCAATTTGTTTAAGGCACTCTGTGAAGTGTTAGGGCTGGTATGTGTAGGTGTACACAGGGTGATTTAAGAGAATTTTAAAAGTGACAAAAACAAGGTTTCTTGTTTCAAGAGGCTTCAGCATTTTTCATAATTCCTTCCATTTTCCATTTCCATAAAGGTTCTGCTTCCTAAAGCAAATATCTGCTCACAGTTCTTAGCCTTTCATCATTATTGCAAAAATTCTTCCCTAGGAATGATATCCAAAGTGCTGTCTGGTGTGAATGTTCTCAAAGCAGCCAATGGAGAATTCACCAAACCTCCCTACACAATAGTTATCCTTAAAGTTTTATTTTGCCTATCTACAATAAGAATGCATTTTCTGTTAGACACATAGACACACTGAAACAAAGAGCTCACATAGCAGTACCTCCTCTGGTATTTATAATACACTTGGATATCTTCTGTTAGATTTTATTTTAAAATGCCACTTGCTTGCAGCTCTTTGGAAAATATTCTTTATAGAACTAATCAAAGAAAGAAAACATCAACATTTCCTCTGGTGAAAAGAGTAAGAAACAAATAATGGGAACTTGTAACTATACTCTACCCTAGCATGATGGTTTCCAAGATCTCTGGGCTTTGTCTCTGCCCAAGCTGGTCCTGACCTTCCACTTACTCTACCTTGTCCTCTTGCTGTTACTGCTCAATCTAGTTTATTCTCCACTGCTCTCATCTGTGACCTAAGTTTTATTTTTCCCCCTTCTCACAGGTAGCAGCCCCTTAATTCTTCCAGCTTGTTGAGTTCTTCTTCTGAAGCCAGACTCCTTCTCATTTTTCTCTAGCCAGTTGCCCCGGCTATGGATCACCCTTTCTCAAGCATGCTGACTGGGACAGTTGGCTGGTGAAGACCCAGAAGAAAACCTTATTGCCCTGGACCTGCCATTCCTCTGGGTGAGGGAACTTGAAATCAGGTTGGGTAAGACATTGCAACAGAGCAGGGGGCATGCCATGGCTCTATGGTTTTAGCATCTGAGAGCAAAGCAACTATTGAATCTACCATACAATTCATTTAAAAAGTTTAAAAAAATATTAACAGTGTTTAAAGAGCATACAGTAACATAATACCTAACATGTGAATTGCCCTTCTATGGCCTTACACTAAGTAATTCATACGTTGCACAGGTAGAATACAATCCTCATCCAGCTCCTAACATTGATCCCATTTTACAGAAAGACCCAGAGGTACCATGATAACTTGATCAAGGTCTCATAGCTGGAAAGCTGCCCAATACAGCTTCAAGCTCTTACTAACTGGAAACACATCTACATGTTAAGTGCTGTCCGAATATCTCAGGACCACTTCTGCATGGTGGGAAGAGGCAAACACCAGTCCCAAGTTCTAAGAAGCAGAGAGCAGATCCCAGGGAAGTAGATACACATACATAAAACAAAGAAAGTTATAATAAAAAACCAAGAAAATACACAAAGTCTCAAAAATGCAGAATCGGGAGAGAGCGGAGGTGCAACTGAAACAGAGAATCTGACACAGGTTTTAAAACAGAGACATGGACCTGAAAACCCAGGGTTGGGAGAGGAGAGACCAGACAATGCAAACAAACTGGAAACAACAGGGGAGCTGGGAAGGACACACTTGAGGTGACCTCTGTCGGCCTCCAGCTTGGCTCTGCTTTCTTTGAAGGTTGCTCTAGGACATGGCATTCACGCAGCATTAAAAGAGTATTAAGATATTGCTCTTAAAATAAAGATAGCTCAGAGATGGATTAAACATTTTTAAAATGCTTAGGGGAGAAAATAGCCAAGGAAAGCAAGAAAATATATTATTGGAATAAAAGAAACAAAGAAGAAAAAAAACCTAATCCTACTCAATGGGAAAATTATTGGAATTCAGCTGCTAAGTGCAAAATGCAAAATGACAACCAGAAATGTCCCCTCACAGAAGAGAAGAAATAGAACTCATCTGTTCCAGCAGTCATAGAAAAAGTCATTAATGCAGGCTGTCCCAGCTCGCACGAGACCTCCCAGCAAGCCCTACTCACCTTGTACAATGAGGTGGACCCTGGAGGTCTTTGGGTGGTTGTCTGTCTGCACAGAGCAGGTGTATGGGCCCTCGTCATACACATCCACGTTTTGGATCTCGATGCTGTACTGGGTTTGGGTGTTGCTCAGGAGGACCACACGAGGATCCAGGCACCACTTGTCATTCCCAGCATAAAGGATGGTGCTGCGGTTGAGCCAGGCTACTCGGGTGACCCGGTTGTCAATCGTGCACCTGAAGATAAGACCAAACAGGTATGTCAAAAGACCAGAGAGAAAACAGTGGCCACCAGAGTGGGCTGTTCACAGAAAGGGTAGGATGTCTTTTTATCTGGCCTTATGTTACCTCTTCACCCTTGGTATATACACATGCATTTTGTGTTTAACCTGTCATGAGTGGAATGCTCTGGAGCTCAGCAGCAGAGGAGTTCTGGGTTTATCACCTCAGAACATTGGCTGCCTCAGACTCATAGGTCCTGAAAAGCAATAAATGTTTCTGAAACCATCCAACCAAAGGATCTTTTCAAAACATCTCAGTCATAACCTGAGGATGACCCGCACACTCAGAATAGCTGGATCCCCCAAGGAAGCACTACTGGCTGTCCCTTGGTTCAAGGATTTCTGTGATGTGGATGGTGATGATTCCTTGCATTACTATCTAGGTGTTCTGAGTCTACTAAGTTGTTCAATACTTACAACTGTGTGGAGTATGTGGTACTGGGAAAAGATTCAGGAAGAGGGAAACTAAATAATTCTCCAATTCACACAGTTAACATGTGCTAGCTCAGAAACCCAAATTTTAACTACTAACAATCATTCCACTCATCTTAGAATAGCAAACTCCAACAGAAGGCTTCTGAAATCAAACTAAATATGGATCACCACCATTTACCTTCATTATACCCAGGGGCAGAAATGTTCAATTATTGCTAGACTAAAGGCATTTTCCAGACTCTTAAAACTGTTTGCACATATAAAAATAGATTTCTTTTTCTTTTATTTTTGCATCTAGAGTCCTCAAATTATAGAAGCTTCCGTCTCTTTTTTATACTTTGAAATTTCCCAACATCTCTTGCCAAGTCCTCCTCATGTCTTTCTGCCTGTATTCCTTTTCATCTCTTGCTACATCAAATATGTCTATGGCCCTAGGCTAAATTTACAATCTCAGTGTCCTGATCCTAACTATAATGCTGAAAGTAACAGTGTTGCAAGGTATGTATAATGATGCCTCAAGTTTATACATTTATTTGTGGTGTCCATTCACTCTGTCTCATTTTATTCCTGTAATGTCTATGAAACAAGTGCCCTCACTTACTCTGTTTTAAAGACTGAGGCTTTAGAGGTCCAGGTGGTCTAGTAAGGACAAGAAAGAGTGGGAGTCATATCTTTCAGCCAAGTCTTGCAATCCTAGCCTTGAATATGCTTCAGAATGTACAAAGGTAAATTTTTCATGGGGAGGGGTTTTTGTTTCTATTGCATTCTCAAAATGATTGGTGACCATTAAAAAAAAACCCTATGAAATCTGTGAGCTACTGCTGAGCACCACTATACTGCTATTTCCAGCTTCCACAGCTAGTCTCTCTGGAGACAAGACATGCTGTACTCTGCATTCATTCTGCTTTACTTGTACAAATGTCACACCACCAATGAACAGCCACTCAGGAGCAGGTGGATGCTTTTCCCAGAGCTCTTGTGGGGAAACTACCCAACAAGAAACACCCTTGCTCTTGTGCCTGGCAAGTTTTGTGCTGAGTGTCACACTTTCTGACAATTCAGGAGAGATCCTGGGTCTTTCCAGTGCCACCCTCATAGAAGGTATGGAGGTGACCAAAGGCCTAACTAGGGAAAGATCACATGACTATTCTTGGAAGTAAGGACCCCTTATGTGAGAATCACAGAAGATTTCTAACCCTTTTGATACTCTTCTTCTGATTCAGAACCTTTGCCAGACCAGAAATACAAATTCTTAGCAGTAATAAAAATGTATAACAGTAACTCAATTGGGTCATGTACAGGCTAAATTTTAAAAGACACTTGTGTAGAATAGTTTGTCTAGGACTCCTAGGGCATGATGCAAAGTGAAAATGCAGAGACTTTTGTGCAAGAATTAGTAAGCATTTCAAGAGGGTGAGAGTAGAGCATGAAAACAAATCAGGTCCTTATGCAAATAAAGTCACACAGCCAGCTACGAATGCTTCCGAAGTGCTTGGGGATCTTGCTGCAGTGCAGATTCTGATTCAGCAGGTCTGAGGTGGGGCCTGAGATTCTGCATCTTAAACAGTTCCCACAGGATGCCAGCGTTGATAACTTCCGAGTCATTCCCAGTGTAGCATTTCTGTGGAGGTGAACTACGTGCAAATGACCATTTGAAAAGTACTGGGACAGTACCTTGCTATGCAAAAGTGTGGTGTGATGGGCCAGAAGTACCATCGGAGACCTCTTGGGAACTTGTGAGAATTATAATATCTCAAGCCTTGCTCCAGAGACAATGAATAAGAATCTGCATTTTAATAAGATCTTCAGGTAACTCAAGTGCATACAAAGATTAGACTGGTCTAAAGTGTACTCCATGACTTCTTTTTTGGCCTTGATGATGAAATCCAGGAGGTACTGTAAGAGTGAACCAGTCAGAGAGAAGTGTAGTCAACAGAAGCTCCTGACACCAATGTTCCTTCCCTGGGTTCTTCCCAGAGCCAGTGTTGTTCATTTGGGATGAAACATGGGTTTGGAACCAGCTTAGTTTGAAATCTATCAAGAAGGACAACACACCGAAGCTTGCTGGAAAAAACCTGAGGAACCTGGGACGCTATTTGTGTTAATGTCCTTAAGGGCAGTCACTACTCTGATTTTTTGTGTGGGTCAGATCAGGGCACTGGTGAAATTTAGACTGATGGCCAGTGCTTGTTGAACACATATTGCTATATCCTAGGTGGGATGTGAGCTCATTACATGCAGTTTTAGCATCTCAAGAATCTGGTTGTATTTATCATTGTTGACAGTTTACAGATGAGATCAGCCAAGGATAAGTAACATATACAACAGCAGAACCAGGATCACCCCTAGGTTTGCTTTGTCTTGTTTTCCAAATTTAATGTTCTTGAATGTCCCATAGCAGTGGTGGTGAACCTATGCCACATGTGCCTCAGTGGGCTGTTATTTTTGAAAGCTCTAAAAGGTTCGGCTTTACTGTCCTATAGGGTCTCAAAAAAGAATACCTACTTACTTCAGTGGTTCCCAATCAGTGTGCCTGCAAATCACCTGGACAATGTGAAGATACGGGGATTGCTGACCCCCCACCCAAGTTTCTGATTCAGTGGTTCTAGAGTGGAGCTTGCGAAGCTGGATTTGTGACATAATCCCAAGGGCTGCTGCTGCTGTTAGTCTGGGGACTACACTTTGAGAACCACTGACTTAGATGTCTGGTATGTGGTGAGATGAGAGTGGAAGAGTGAATGGGTGCTGGGAAATGACTCTTGTTAGAAACACTTTTCTGTTGCTTTACAGGAGAGAACTTTCCTGTTAGTCAATATGTCCCAAGAAGTCAGAAGCAGACTTCTAGCTATTTCTTGCTGACAGCTGCTGACGTCTGACCAGACACCAGTTAAATGTCCATGGTGCAGAAAATGGAGACCAACAGAATCCATGCTATGTGGATGATTGTTGATCCCATAACCCAGGCATCGCATGAGCTCAAGAGGAATTCAGGAGGACTATCCTTGGAAACCTTGTGAGCATCTAATTATGGAAAACTGACTGAAACAGAAGTCTTCTTACCACACTGGATCATATTACAGGGCCAAAAAGGTTCCTCTGCAGATACAGGAATGCTCCAAACTCAGCCAATTTCCAGCATGGTACGCGGTCCTTGTGACACACTGTACTGAAGAGGTGACCTAGCGTCAGCTGCGGTTTGGGGCATATCCAAGGTCATGTTTAGATGTCCAAACTGTGAGTGCTGGCTATCAGTCTGGCTGAGTCCTCACGAGATTAATGCTAGTGTCTGCAGACTTGGATCACAGAGGTAACTTGGCAGCCAGCTCCTGCCTCCTGCTCATGCCTGCCCCCATTCGTCTGTTTCATTTACCCCATCTCCATAACAGTGCAGAGGAGACATTTCCTCCAGATTAAAAAGAAGAAGAAAGGGGAAAATGAGCATAATTGCTCTCCTACCCAGACCAAGTGCTTTGGTTGGTGGAAAGTAGGTAGAGATTCGGGCATAGGAAATTCGGTGAACAGCCTTCCTCTTTTTAGACAAAGCCTCTAACAGAATTCTTCTAGGAAATTACTCCTAAAACATGCCAGGGCATTTTGCCTTCCTTAGGTTGTGATTAAATATATGGTTAACTAGGAGTGAGTAATCTTTCAAACTCATCTATCCAGGACTAATCTAGGTAAGTGAAACCGGAGATGGCCATTCCATCAGACATCAGGAAAATAATCTCAGTCTAGGAAGAGAGACAGCAGAGGGAACAGGGAAAGGGCCCAGACCAAGCATGGCAAGTCTTACCTTTTCCCACGATCTGGAGGTATGCCAACCTCCCCCTTCACCAGCCTCCCTACCCAAAATGACTCTTGCAAAACACAGAAGGACAACCTTTGGGAACCCAAGCACTCTGGGTGGGGCCCTGAAAACCCCAAATTGTGTTCACTGTGATGGTCTCTGTCCTCTGGCTTCAATGGCTGAACTCTAACTTCTTCCAAATTCTAGCCCTCCATCCAGTAGTCATCAATTTTTGGTGTTGCTTTGAATGACTTTTCCACACTATGAATCCCCCATGGGCAGCCCACAGCCTAGCCTATTCAGCATCCTGGCAGAATCCAGAGAAAGACACAAAGTCTGGGAAGGATATATATTTGTCATTTCAGTGCTGAGTCTCAGGGCCCTTTTTAGTGTATGTGTGTCAGTTTGCACCCTGTCCTTTTTCTTGGAAGGAGTGCTTCTTACAGAGAACAGACCTGTCCTAGTTAAGGATGGGTTTTTGAGGGTGCCCCAACTGCATCAACTGTCAGTGCATTCACTTCCATAATGAAAAGCCCCATGTGTCCCCAGCCAAGAGAGGCTCCAACCACATGAGCACATGCTCACCCATGTACTGGTGCACAGTGTGGTAGAGAAAGCCATCACACCTGTAATATTCTGCAGCTGGATCGACTGTCCTAAAGCTGTGCAAATGCAGCCATCTATGTCTTCTATGTCTTGCTGAATGGTGGCTTTATTGCACATGTTGCTTTATA